TCTCCCGCTGCTGCTCCGCCACCTCTCCCCTTTCTGCTCCCTCCCCGGCTGCTGCGGGTCCCTCCCGGGGGTGACTTTCCTTTTCCCAGCGCTTACGTGTGTCGGGGCGATGAGTGCGCTGGGAGCACGGTCGCAGCTTTCCAGCGGTGAAGCCGGTTCTCTGCCGCGCTCTGCTTCTGTCCCTGGGCTGGGGAGAGCCGGCATCTCCCTCGGAGGAAGGACCGGCTGAAAAGCACGTGAGAAAACTCAGCCTTTCCTAACAGCCCTTACCTGTGCTCTCTCTCTCTCTCTCTTTCTCTCTCTCTCTCTTTCTCTCTTTCTCTCTTTCTCTCTCTCTTTGCTTTAAAGTTGGAGGCTGGACTGGGACTGCTGCTACAGAGAGGAGCTCCAACCCAGCCACTCTCCTCAGAGCCAACACCAGCCTCTGAGGAACCCTCTCTGTCCCCCCAGGTTTCTAACTACGGCGCTCGGAAGCCCCCGTCTAACTACGGCGCTCGGAAGCCCCCGGTGCTATGCTGCCCTGCCACGTGCCGAGTTTCAGGCATCCATCCAAGGTAACGTACTGTCTGCTCAGGGGCTGGGCGTGTGTGCTTTGAAAAGGAAAGGCAGGATAAATGGGACTCCGGGATTCTCTGCTCCTAGAACAAGTATCGGGGGTTCCAGATAAAGTTTAGGGTCCCTACAGAGCACGCTATGTGTTTGCTAGTTTAGAAAATGTCCCTTCTGTTTCTCACCCCAAGTGGTGGGGAGCTGCCTGGGGTGGAAAGAGGAGGGGAATGTGTTGGAGCTGCTTTTAGCACTGAAAGAGGGAAACGGGGGGCTGTGAAGGTGCCCCAAAACAGGTTTGGGCAGCACCGTTTGGGAAGGATGCTTTGTCACCTGGGGTGGCAAGCGGAGGGCAATGGGGAGGCACGTGGGGGGCAGTGGCTGGGGAGGTCCCTGGCGCCGCCGCCGTCGTTTTACCCCTGGGGCTGGGGAGAGCGTGAGGTGGGGGAATAATTTCTTGCGCCTCCGACGGCTGCAAATCCTGTCAGGCAGCAGGAGCTCAGGGCTCTTTGCGCTGTCTTTGCCGTAGTGGATGTTTGCCCCTCTCCTCCTTTTCCTGGCTGAGCTCGGCTGCGGCGCCCAACCCACTTACCAATGGAAAGATGCTGCGACGAGCGAGAAGCTCACGTGCCAGCAGTGCCCGCCGGGGACCTTCGTGGCGCAGCACTGCACCAGGGACAGGCAGACGGTGTGCGAGCCCTGCCCGGATTTGCACTACACGCAGTACTGGAACTACCTGGAGAAGTGCCGGTACTGTAACGTCATCTGCGAGGAGAAGCAGGTGGAGGTGCAGCAGTGCAATTCCACCCACAACCGCGTCTGTCAGTGCCGGGAGGGCTACTACTCGGAGCTGGAGTTCTGCATCAGGCACTCCGAGTGTCCGCCGGGCCACGGGGTAGAGAAACCAGGTAAGTCCCCTAGCCAGGCGGCTGCAGCAGCGGTGTGCCTGCTTGTGAGGCTGCTGTTGCGTCCCGAAATCTCCTCTGGAGCTAAAAATCGGGGAGAAATACAGCGGTCGGTGATTGCCCATGGCCTGACCTACTCCCTGTTTGCTCACCAGCGCAGCGCCGTCCTTGCTGGCGTGTGAAACTGCCCCTGGCGTCTTTTCCAAGGAGGGATTTGTTTGGGTTTTCCCTCCGCTTTCGCTTTGAGAGCCTTCGAATTCCCCCAGCGCCACGCTTGGATGGGACGTGGCCATCCTGGTTCCCTGCTTCACCTGCCGCGACAGGCAGGGCCGGGCGGTGGTTCCCCCGTCCCCGCAGCCGCAGCAGCTCGCCCTGCCGGGGCTCTCGGTGGGCAGAAAGGTCCGAGGGGCTCTTGCTCCTCCATCAGGTCCCTTCCCCTTGCAGGCAGGGAGCCAAGGAGCAGGGAATGTGAATTATCCGGACTGAAGAAGGCTGCTTGTGATGCAAGGGTAGGGCTGGTGAAGGTGTGTAGCTCTGGGGCTGGATTTTGTGGGGTTTATTGAGCAATTTGGAGAGGCTGTATTCAGCCCAGGGACGGGTTCCAAGCCAACAGAATCAGCCTTGTTTCGACTCACGCCTGGGGGAGACTCACGAGTCCGAAACTCCGTCCCCTGGTGAGATGTAAGTCACGAGAGATTTTACGGGGGTTATTTTTCGGTTGTTTCCCCAGCACAAATTTCCCTGGTCCCTTGGTTGCCCCCATTTGCATGTGCATATACTTTCTAAAAATACAAGTTGCCTACGAGCGGGTTTCTCTCTCGCTGTCTCCTGAGTCACCGAGGACCAGGCTCTGTCTGGAAACCGCAGCTGGGTAGAACAGAACAGTGTGGGGCAGCATCCGCAAAACCAGCTTCGTGCCTTGAAGCGTGGAGGCTTCTGAAGTCCTTCCATGTGCGGCACAGAAGAGCTCCAGGCTCGCAGGCCGGGTGAAATACCTGTTGTCTTCAGCCGATGCTTATGGTTGAGGTTTGGGATTTAATTTTTGGAGGGGGGCGTGACTTACAAGATGCGATAACGCAACCAAAGGTGCCCTAGGTCTGCAAACAACGCGGGGAAGCCCTTTGATATTAAACATCTGATTTGGCTGGAGAACTGAGGAGCCACGCGAGCAAGCTGGGGCATTTGAGGGGAAGCTGATTTTTTTGTTGTTGTTATTTATTTTTTACAAACAGCTTCTCGTGTGAGGAATGATGCCGCCCCAGCTCAGCCATCTGAACCCTCCAGCAAGGACCGAGCATCCAGCCCGGATGCTGGGAGCGCTTGTGTCCGGCCGGGGACGATGTGGACCCGGTGGCTGCAGGGCTGGGGGCAGACCTCGCTGGCTTTCGGGTGCTTTGGATCCGTGTGCGGCCCCTCTGGGGACACGGGCTGCTTTTTTGGGTTTCCCATTTGCAAACACTGGCTCGGGTGTTGAGGTGCTCGGCTGGGCTGGCCAGGGCTTCTCCTGGTAAAGCCAAAGCAACGGCCTGGGTTGCAACAGGGTAGAAACCTTGTTCTTAACTAGATAGGCGAAGAGGAGATGAAAAGGGGTCTGAAATTTGCTCCCAGCAGGGCCGTTCCCCCTTCCCCAGGGGATGTGCAAGACGCCCGGGTGCAATCTTGCTCGCGTGGCACCGTCCTGGGGAAGCAGCGGCGGGTCTGGCCCGGAGCCTGGGTGGGAAACGGCAGCGCTGCAGAAGTGAGCGGAGCTTTCACCTTCTCGGCAACTTTTACTTTCACTTGACTCTGCTGTGAATCAAAGGGCTGGTTTGGCACTCGGCTTACCCGCCGTCCCAGCTGGTGTCTCCTGCCTGGGAGGTGGCCCTTTTTCAGCAGCAGGTGACATCTCCTCTTGGGTCTGGAGGCTGGTGGCAGTTTCTCAGCACGTGCCAAATGCTTTGCCTTGGGAGATGGCTGGGGAAAGCGCCGCTCTTCGCCCTACAAGAAGACACACGCTTCCCAGGGGAGCTGCAGGCAACAATCCCTTCCAAAACGTCACCCTCGTGCTCGAATGGTTTCTGGCACTCTTTGCTGACATCATCCCCTGCTCCCTTGCCACCTTGTCACCCCAGGCTGACTGTCCCCTTGCCTCCCCGCGCGCAGGTACCCCCTTCGAGGCCACCCAGTGCCGCGCCTGCCCCCGCGGCTTCTTCTCTTCCTCCAACTCCAGCACCAAGCCATGCCAGCCGCACCAGGACTGCGAGCAGCAGGGGAAGGTGACCAACGTGCAGGGCAACCAGTACCACGACACCCTCTGCACCTCCTGCAGACTGGGGAGCAGCAACAGCACGCAGGGACCAGGTGAGCCGCAGCTCTGCGGGCGGAGCCGGGGGGGATGCCAGGGCCGTGATGCTGCCAGGGCGAGAGTGAACTTTCTGGCGACTTTTTTTCTACGTAGGTGCAAAATGAGGTGAAATAGCTTGTGAAAGCATGGAGTGATCCAAAATTAGTAGTAGTTCTGGATAAAATAGAGACCATCTGCCTTCTTCTCCCTCCAGGGTCAGTCCCGTAGGGCAAGGGCAGGGCGCAGGGCTTAAGCAACGGCCGCTGCTCAGCCAGAGCCCCTGCAGGCTCCTTGCTCAGCAAGAACAAAGAGCTGGCGGTGAAATCCTGCCAGTTCTTATCAGGGACTGGGATAACTGGGGATGCCGGGACACGAGGACAGTTTTGGTAACCGTTCGGCTGTCACTGGCGGCTCGCAGCGATAACCGAGGGCTGGCGGTCAGGTACACAGGCGCGGTGGGAAGGGCTGTGCCTCCTGCGCTCGCTTCTGCTGGGCTTCCAGCCTGTTTTCCAGGAAGGTTTTGGCACGGCTGCAGCCTTGTCTCGTGCTGGTTGGACGGAGCAGAGTCCAAGGTGCGTCGGAGCTGAGCGTAGGGTGGACTCTGACCCGGGGTTAGGTGAAGAGTAGAGGCGTGTGTCAACCGTGTCACCGTGACAGCGCAAACGTGGCGCTGAGCCTCGGTGGAGGCTGAAGGTTGGGCCGGAGCTGCCAGCGGGCACAGGTCGTAGAGTACAGAATAGCAGGTTGGAGCGACCTCAAGGATCGTTTGACCTCAAGGATCATCTGGTCCAACCTTTCCTGGGAAAAGCACAGGGCAGAGGAGCGGGGGAGAGCGATGGGCTGGTGCCAGGAGTGCTTTGTGACATGTCCCCCAACAAGTCAGGGGATGAGAAAGGGACCGAAAACCATCTCAAGGGCCTGATGTTGGTTGGGGTGAGGCAGGCAGCTGACTGGAACCACCCGCTCTACCCTGAGCATCCAGCCAAGATAGACGGGAGACAAATTCAACGAGACTGATCGGGGTGACACTGAACCTGCACCCTCGAGCTTCCAAAAAAAAGTCAGCCGTAGAGCCATAGAACAGCCCAGGCTGGAAGGGACTTGGAAAGTTCAGCTGGTCCAGCCTTTCAGGGGAGAGGGAGCCTGGATGAGATTACCCAGGACCATGTCTAGCCACGTCCTGAAAACCTTCAGTGATGGGGACTCCGCCGTGTCCCTGGGGAGGTTGTTCCAGTATAAAAAAAAAGGTCTTCCTTCCACCAAGACGAAGGTTGATAGAAGAGCTTCAATAAAAGCTTCTCCTCCGTGGGGACGGAGGAAGGAGGCTGTTCCCCCCAGCAGCGTGCGAGTGGAGCTCTTGCCTTTCCATCCTCTCCGGGCACCGCCAACGCGGGACATTCCTCCTGACGGAGCCTGACTCACCCCACGAGCTCCTTGCCAGGAGCGTGATCCTGCCGGCGAGAGGAGAGGGAAAGCTCTGTCATCAGTGGGACGCGGTCCCGGGGACCGGGGGAGGTCAGGTGAGAGCAGCAGCACGTGTGCTGCCGCTCGTTAGGCAACGGCACCCGCGGCCAGACCGGCCTTTCAGCTATTTATAGGGCGAGAGGAGGCAGGTGAGCAACGGGAGCCGAGGGGCATTTTTAAGGCCGGTTCGTCATGATTTCACGTGGGAGGCGCACGGGCATGTGCGTGGCGAGCGCAGGAGCAGTTTGGTAGAAATCCTGAGTCTGCAGGAGGGGCAGAGTCAGGGCAAAGGAGCCCGACCCAGCCCACTGTAACCAGTGAAACCATTCCCAGTTTACAACGGCATGAAACTGGGTTAGTCTCTCCTGGATTGAGTAACCGTTTCGCCTTGAGCTCTTGAAAAATTCTTTGTGATTTCACTCCTTACGCTGCGTTCCAGCAGCGCTTTAACAGCTGGGAGTAGGTCTGTCCAAAAGCCCCGACCCGGGCTGTGCCTGGGGGCTGGTCCTGTCCTGAGATGTAAAACTCTGTGTGGGAAAACAGAAACTTTCAGGAAAAACAACATGAGTAAATACTTACTGCGATCACTTCAGATTTTTCTGGAGTTTCCCTCTTCCCCTACTCCATGGCAGGGAGGAGCATGAGAAAGGTATATTTACTTTTTTCACAGCTGCAGGAACTTTTGCATGTTGTTTTTCTAACTGCCCCTTATAGGATGGGCTGCTGCTGGGAAATCCAGCCTGCGGCGAGGGCTGGACCCGGCCTTCCAGGGCAGTCAGCTGGCAGAGAAGGGCTTTGGCCAGTTAACGATGCCGCATTTGATGCTTTCCTCCTCCTTCTTCTTCCTCCTAAACGCATTTTTTTTTTTTCCCACTTGCAAAATGCTGCTTCTGACCCGCTCGTTCCACCACACCGTGCCGGCGCCGGAGCCGGCCGCCCTCCCGCTTCCCCCCGACTTAGGCAAAGGATGTGCCGGGTGCCTGTGTGTGTGGGCAGAGCGGGGCAGGAGGTCCCCAGCTCGTCCTCATGGACGGACGTGGCCATGTGAGCTAAAACACCCTCCCGACCCTGGGCGATGGGTTTCCCAGCAGGGTTCGCTGGGCTGGGCCCCCTCGTCTGAGCCACGGCCGGAGAGCGATGCCCAAATGAGGACAATGTCACGGGATCACAGAATGGTTTGGGCTGGAAGGGACCTTCCAAGGGCATCTAGTCCAACCCCCTGCAGCCAGCAGGGACATCTTTAGCTGGATGAGGTTGCTCAGAGCCCCATCCACCCTGACCTTGAATGTCCCCAGGGATGGGGCTTTACCGCCTCGCTGGGCAGATGTCCCATGGAGAAGCTCGGGAGGGCTGTGACCTGCTCTCCTGGTGTCATGGTCACCTTCCCTCTAACCTCTGGGCGTTTTTCTCCCACCAGCTCTAGCAGACGACGACTGTGAGCAAGCCATGATAGACTTCGTGGCCTACCAGAACATCCCCCTCAGAAAGCTGAAGCGCCTGCAGCAAATCCTGGAGCACTCACCGAAGAAGCAGGCGCTGGGGACCAGGGCGGCCAACCAGGAGAAGTTCAGGGCTTTCCTCACCCACCTCAAAGAGGGGCACTACGAGCTCACCAAGGAGCTGCTGGATGCGCTGCGAGCTGCCAAGCTGCACTCCATCGAGGAGAAGGTCCGCAAGCGCTTCCACCTGCACTGAGAACACGAACTGAACTTTCCCTGTGGTTTTCGTTTTGTTTTTTGTTTTTTCTCCTGAGGCTTCGTTAATTTATTAAGCTTTCCAAACCTAACTCGAAACGCAGCGTTAGAGAGCAGCGGTGGGGCAGGGCTAAGCCGTGCTGCGGCAGCTGCGGTGGGCGCCGCTCTGCGGGCGGGTGCATCCCTGTCTCCAGGATGGGATGCTGTCAGCAGCAGCGTCCCTGCGGCCGGTGCAGCTCCTGGGAGCTCCCTGGGTGCTGGCTGCTGGGTCTCCAGCACTCAGCAAGGGCCAATATTTTACCAGAAGAGAAACATGCAGCCAGGGTCTTTTTTTTTTTTCTGGGGAAGAACCCAGCTCCCCCTTTTTAGAAAACTGTCTGGCTTTGTTTTAAACTGTGTGGGTTTGGGTTTGGTGGGGGTTTTTTTAGTTACTTAACAGTATTTCCCACAGAGGATTCACTTGCATTTGTTTTGATTGCTTCTGGGACATGTTGGGTGTAGGATGCGCCCCTGATGTCGCTGGTCCAGCCGGCTTTAAATTTATTTCTAAACTACCTGGTTTTATACGGTGTTTGAGAGATGTTTTCTAAAGAAAGAAACCAAAGAAGTTATTTTATTACATGATTCTCTGTCACCAGAGTCCTTTCCTGGTCTCATTTGGAGGAGAAAGGTGGGGGTGCAAGTCCCAGACCATCATCTCCCGACTCCACTCACCCTCGCCCGCTCTTGGCAAGTGCTTCGCCCCACGATCACACCGCATCAGCCACCCATACGACACAGTGGCCCCCCCAAACCAGCCTCTGTGACCCACGGCGAGGCCGCGTGCG